GACACTAAGACCATCCCAGAATTAAGAGGTCAGAACCTACAATACAGAGAGCCTCATCTTCTGATGATAAAGGAGATACATATTCATGTCGTGGTGACCAGCTGTGTGTACGTGTGTGTGTGTGTGTGTGTTTCGAGAAAAGGCCGTTCCCTGCAGCTCGCATGTCATCATCATGGGGGCATTACGTCACACCAGGAACATTCAAGGACCAGAGAAGGCTATTTGTTCCAAGGACCGGCCATACATTGCAGCTGTGCTAAAAAAGGAGGAGCGACGGTTGAGGTCAGCTGAAGCTGTAATCAAAAGTGGCGGACATTACAAAGAATTGACAGTTTGCTTAAAACTAGCTCTACATTGCAGGACCAGAACAATGCTGATGCATTACAGTGCAAAACCCTTGAAGCAAGACTCAAAAAGAGTCCAGTGGAGGCATTAACAAAGTCAGAGACGGCGTTTTCAACCACCTCACGGAGCGAACGCTGGTTTAATTAGCCGGCGATCTACAGCCTGTGAGTCATCCCAACTGGCAGAAATTGACGCTCACCAGCGAGAACCGGGATGCTATTTTTGTCGCTTACAAAAGCAGAGGCCTTTGCACACCAGGTCCCTATTTTTCCTTTTAATCGGTCATCCAGTAAAAATTGTTACACACAGAAATCCAGCTCACTGAGTCTGATTATTTTCCCTCTATTATACAAGATTAAAAGGATAATGGACTTTAACTTCTTATCTTTTGTACATCTACCTTTAAATGCTTCATCTCTGTATTCTTTACTTTGTCGTACAGTGAATCAGCTCATCAGATGACATTTTGGATGATGATGTTTGCATATACGGTGTCTCTGAGGGATCAAACAGCTCTCTAAAGGCTCTCTACAACACAGAAAATCAAACCTGTTCCAAAAACTTAGATGACAGATGAAAGGTTTCAGAGTTGATGTGCAAACATGATTGAAACCACAAAGAGGTTGTGTTTATTTATTTTAAATGTGCAACAATTTTGGACGGAAAAAACGGACTTCATGCGCAAGAGCCTTAAGGGGGTTGGGGCTTAGCTTATGGTGCAATGTCTTAAATAAAGATCCAGTGTATTAATGTATATTCTGTTAAAGCGTTCTCCGTTAATAATGTCCAAAGCATTACAGGAGCTATTCTGTAATTAAGTTTTGTAAATTACTTTCAACACTCCGGCAACCTTATCTACTTCCACTTCAGTTAGCGGCTTCTTACATTTCCCAGAACGACTTGTGACAATCTTGACAGAGGAGGGGGGGAGGGGGGGGCTTATAACCCAAAATGCACCATGGGTCGGGGCTGTGTTGCACTTAATCTATTTGAGCCGCCTCGGGATGAGAAATCGGTGTCTCTGCCTCTTCTGCGATGGATTATTCTACTGTGATTGCCGAACAATGGCAGCTTATAAGAAAAAGGGAATCTTTGAATCCGGATGGGTTGAAACCTGACATGTAGCATTATGTTTCAGACGGCTGAACATTGCTCAGCCATCACTCCGTTGTGGCTGTAATAAAAGTATCTGTTTTAGCCATCTGTGAGAAGAAGATAAACACATCAAACAGCACAGTGGTCCGGAACCAAAAGGTACAAAAACACCAGTAGCTGCTGTTTTAACCACGTCAAAAAGTGTTTTTGTTTGGATTTGTGCTTGAAGCCCTGGTGTCGGTGGATGAACAGCACAAGGAAGGAATAGTAACAAGTCACAAGAGTTGCAGCGTCGCAATAACAAATGCAACTATTGCTGTCATACAACAGCGGCAGCACAAAGCAACAAGATGGAAGAGATAAGTATGGAAATATGAACGGAGAGGCAGAGAGGAGTATTTACAAATGACAGGAGCGTATCACACACGGAATTTGATTCAGGTAGAAATGCGAGATAAGGCCGTTTAAGAATCACCAGCAGTGGTCCTGGACTGATTTTAAATAATTCAGCTAAAGATCAAACCCAACGATTCTCATTATCGTTTTAGTCATTTAATCTAGCAAAAAATGCCAAATATTCATTGATTTCAGCTTCTGAAAATGTGAGGATTATCTGCTTCTCTCTGTTTTGTATCATTGTATTTAATATCTTTGGGTTTTCTGACAGTTGGTCGGACGTAACCGCCACTTACAGGATGTCACTTTGTGCTTCAGGAAGCAGATCAATTGATTGTGAAGATAATTGTCAGTTGCAGCCCTAATGCAGCCCTAATTTAAGGATGTCAGGCATTCAGTGTAAAAAGGAGATTCGGTAACACCAATGAACCCGTCATGTTCCTCGTTCAGCTCATCTAATCCAAAATGTATTCTTAGTAATACTACTGCAATATAACGTGTAGCACAGGAGAAAAACACAGTGATCCTTTCAGATAAAAGCACAAGCTGCCTGTACAATATACTTGGAAGTGTAAATACTTGACAGTGAGAATAATTGCCGTGTCAAATCCTGTCGGGCGTCAACGTGCTGCTGTTGGTTTTGATGCACGACTACCTGCCAAGGTGACAAGTGAGCTGACACGATGCAAAGAGTGAGATAAGAGTGAGATAAAGCTCAGAGACACATTCTAAATACTTGCTTGCGTTTTTTCCAAGTTGTGACAAAGCACTAAAAGTAGAAACAGACCGCTTTCAGTCACACTGTATGGCACTGTACGCAATAATGTTAAGACTCGTCATGTTATTTATTGTACCGACAGTTTGTGATACTAAACGCAGCCGAAGAGTTTACAACCTCAGAGGGACGTTAGAGGACGAGTGGTGGGCTTTTTATTAGACTTATCAAAAGGGAACCTCCTGCCACAGATGTTTCACCAAAATAGATCCTTGACACTTCCAAGGCGCTAAATGGTAAACTCTGGCTCCTAGGACACATCTTCACCGAAGGACACAAAGCAGAGCTCTCCATTATGCGGAGACACACACACACACACACACACACACACACACACACACACACCTGAAGAGGCTGTACATGTTAGGAAGCAGACTTCGGATTTTAACGTGACGAAGACGCCAGATTCTCTAAGTGTCGACAGAGTCAGCGGGGCTCCTCAGCAGAGACCCCCCCCCCCTCTCATCCCAGCGCAGCGTTTATCGAGATGTGCCGAAGTGAATCTCTTTAACGCGACTCTCTCTCCGTCTGCCTCCTGAAGGGGGGCCGGCAGTCTGTGACTCCATTTGTCGCAGGGAGAAGAAATGAATAACCTTTCAGGCTCACCTGGCCGGGAGCGAGCGGCATACAAATGACGACACCGGCTCCACCGCGAACCCCTTCATGCGAGAACGTAAATGGGTCTGTGATCGTTTGCATGGGAAATTGAATGTTTGACGCCCCCCCCCCCCCATCATCCTACTCCTCCTCCTGTCATTGTTAACAGAGGGCTAATCTATTTGGGTGCATCACAGAAAACAGATTATTAGATTTTGGTATAATTTTGGAGGGTACAGAAAGGGAACACACACACACACACACACACCGAAGAGGATTATCTTGAAGAAGCTTAATTGTTTCCCAGGCAACTAGTTCCCCACTAAGACGGCGACTGTGAAATTTCCACTAGCGATTATTTTACTTTCAAATGACTTACTCGTGTCCTCCAGCTAAATCCTCTATGTGAGCCAACCTAGTTTTTTTATGGGGTGGCAGGAAGGGGGGGGGGATTGTATTGAAATAGATTAGAGTCCTCGAGGAACACAACATCTCTTTTAGCCCGCAGTACAATAACAAAAAAACGGGGCCGTGAGCTGGAATGAAAAGGTTAGCTCAATGTTTATCGTTAATGGCGGTGGGCTTCTGATGAGACCCAGCGGGGGGGATTAATTCAGGCAATAAACACGGCCGTCCAGGGTGAAGTAATTCCAAATCGCCAGATGAGTCATACAAAAGACGTTTTCCTTCATCATTTTAAGCAGGTGACTGCGAACCAACGCGGCCGATCCGAAATCAGCATCTCTCCCACAAAGTATCCACAATCTTGCAAAGACCGGCCTCCATTTTTTCTTCTTCTTAAAGCTAGGGTTGGTAATCTTCTTCAAAAGCATGTTAAGTGATATTTGTCTCATTAGATCAAGACACTGATCGATAAATCAAATGGACGGCCTACCTGTCCTCACTCATTGCACGTCACCCGAGTCTGAGAACAGCTGTGAGTACCGACAACATCCTTGTTCTTTGTTTACATTCATAATGATAGTTTTGGCAGAGTGGCTTTGGGGGCCTGAAGTGATTGGCTGTCAGTGTTCCCGACTTTCTTGCTATGTTTGATACCGTCATTGAAAAAGAGTCGGCAACACTGGGGTTTTGGCTTTTTTCTGTCTCTCTGCTGGTTTCTCAACATTACCAATCCGAGTTGTATTTCGCAGCGGTGTGCTGGTTCAGGGAGTAATTGTTGAGCTGTATTACAAAACAGCTAATAATCAATGAGAGTCACTTTGTGTGTTTGCCTTTTTGTCACGTCAAGAGAGACTGATGTACTTGCGGTGGGCCACTCGTTCGTGACCATATCTCTTCCTCAAAGCGCTGCGAGCCGCGGCAGCAGCACACAATAACCATTGTCTGTGGTAAATCCCCAGCAGAACGAGGGGGGGTGGGGGGGGGCACACGAGAATCGAAACGGCTTTTTAAAGTCACACTGCTGCTCATTTTCCACCATTTCAGAGCAACCATAATACTGTGATCCAACAGGCTGTGCTTTCAACAACGTGCATTATGCAGCAGTAGCAGCAACAACAACAACAACAACAACAACAACAACAACAATGCCAGAATAGGCTACAGTCTCTCTAATTCACCCGAGATTACCATCTCAAACAAAACAACACAAACAACAGCATTATGGGAGCGGAGACAAAAGAGAGTGCACTGCAGCGTGGAATTTCCTTTTTCTAGACACAAGAAGCCTTGAAAGAAGCCCGTCCCTGCCACATCCACCACAGCTGGAACATCTGTACGCACAGGCGTAGGAGTCATTAGAGAAAATGCTGTGAAAAGATCTTCTTACCTGCAGTTTGGAGGTGGGTCTAGTGTTATTTCTGCGAGCTCTTTCTGAATCCTGGAAGAGAAGGATTGTTATTGTTAAAAATCGATGTGGGGAGGGCAAATCTCCAGAGGACGATAAAATCTGAAGGAACGGACGACTCAGTACAAGCACCAAGTCAGTGTTTGGATCCTGTGAGGAGGTAAATGTTGCTTTTTATCCCAGCGACACAGTATCTCATGTATTCTAAACGTCACCATGCAAGTTCATTTGCTATCCGTATGAAGCATAAATAGAATCTAAAACGTGCCAAGTTTTAGTTTTAGTGTTTTGTTAATCTTTGTCATCGTCTGTGGTGCACAAACAAAATTAAAAAAGGAGCACCGAGCATGAGGGTGAACACGGCCGCTGTGAGAATGTCACATAAACCGTGCAAAATGATGATTCAGACGGTGAAGGGCAGCGGAGTGCAGACGCTGCTGCTGAGCAGGTCGTTAACGTAAACACTGCAGACGACAGCTGAAGGCCCTCGCGGAGACTCACTCTTAACTGAAGACATACAAAAAGGAAATGTTGGAAACATCGGTCGCTATTGTAAGAAAGACTCGGGCTGGCCTCAGACAACCCTTTTGCTCAGCCGGTTGCATAATAACCCTGTCATCTCCAGTCTTTTTTTTTGGGGGGGGGGGGAATAAGTATTAAGGTAAGCTTTGGAGGTGTAGGAGACAGGCTGGAATGTGTAGGAGACAGGCTGGAATGGGAACATCTCTTTCGGGTGACATCAACGAGCTCCTTTCTGTGAGTTTAGTGTCACAGTGAATAGCGTGGATGTTTGAAATGACAAGGCCTGTGAGACTATAGTCGTTATTTTCTAACTTCACACCCTCGGGGCAGGGGAGAGGCCTTTACTTTAACAAACAACCCGCTCTCTAGAGCCAGCTTGTTTCTTCTTACCTCTTGGCACTAGTTGAAAGTTTAGCAGCGGTTTTACTCGAGATCTTGGTCTCCTTCTTTTTGGGCTGTGCTTGCTCTCGCTCATGTTCGGTGGGTACCGATTCCCTTTGTTCGATATCCGAGCTGCCCCCGCTGGTGCTGGGGCTGTCGTCCGGTCTCTGCACTTCGCTGGACATCGTGGGCCCTGGAAAAAAGTAAAGGCACAACATACAACCTGTGAGCACGGGGGCCAAGCAGATTCCCACTTGCAGAGAGTGGCAATAAAGATGTTATAATGTGGAATTTCCTCAGCAAACTGGGTAACTTTTGAGGGGAAACCATGGTTAAAATTGGTTTAATTAAAGTCGATGTACAGCTGGACATGGATGAGAGTTAAAGCGATATAAAGACATTTGTCAAAGCCTACAGACCCATAGGTCCTTTGTTGAAATGAATATAATAATAAGCCTGTCCCCTAATGATCTATTAAAGGTAATATATATATTACTGGCTAATAGTTTTGGAGGAATTTATGCGAGTAGATTTACTGGCCTAGCTTTATAAAAACAGAGCATATTGCTTCTCCCCTTTCTTTAACAAATACTGCAACTTATTGTGGTTTGAGGTCAACAGTGTGAGCAAATACATGGATATAGAAGCTCTTTATAGCCTTGGGGGGGCTGATTTAATCGGAAAGTAACACACACATCTCATCGGTGACGGATCAGAAAGGACACTTCACAAAATGAGGAGATCATCCGTGAAGACCGAGCATTAATTCATGCCCCCCTCCACCCTTTAACACACGACAAAGACACGGCTAACATAAATATGTTGTTGACCGGTACAAGCTATACGTGAAATGTGGGGAAGTTAATCCGAACGATGAGGCACGAAGCGGCGGACAGCTCGCCTTCCCTGGGGGGCGTTTTCGCGGTACTGATAGGGACACCAACGGCTAAAATGTACACGCGTTCAGTAGCCGTTAGAGATGCCGGGGGTCGACGCAGAGACGTTATAAAACCCCCGACAACATACCACCGGGGACAAGTTAAGATGTCCGTGTGTTTTATCGGACATCACTGTAAAATGCTTGGTCAAACCGGGTAGGTCAACATTTGTGGGGATGAAAAGCACAATATGGGGTCAAACCGAGCCGTCCGACAAACAGCGACCGTAGCTAACGTTACAAGGCCGGTGGGGAGAGGGGGAGGAGAGGGGGGGTAGGAAAGTAGGGTGTTACATTAGCGTCACCGACGACTGGTTCATTAAAAAAAACAAAAAGAGGAGAAGCTGAACAGGCCTCGGTTGTTTTAAAGTCATTGAAAATACGCATAGAAGAAGGCGTTTCTTCCGTCGGACTCAGTCCGAAACAGCCGACGGCGGTGCGGGGCTGATGGGAGGACGGTTCAGGGCCGGTGGAGCGGTGAGGGTAGGGGAGGGGGTATGCGGGGATCCTCGTCGTTTGTGGAGTGTCCACATTGTGTCCACATTGCGCGTTGGAGTGCAGTGACCCTGCCTCGGCACAAAGGGAGGCTCGTCCCACACATCCACCACCACCTCCCCCCTCTTTCCTCCTCCTCCTCCTCCTCCTCCGTCTTCACTGGAAAAAACGACACTTTTCACGGGACATTTACTTACTTTTCGCGTATCTACGAGGGGCGACTAAAGGCGTGTGTCGATATTACCTGGCGGCTGGCCGTCGATGCTGCAATTCCGCGTCGTAATAATCCCACGGTAACCGGAAAAAAAAGTAATATCCTCACACGGTCTGCTCGCTCCCGTGTCCTAGCTATTTAACTGGAGGTAGGCAGCGGCAGAAAAGCGATTACAGAAAAACTGAGGCAGCAGCAACCGGACCGCCTCCACGCGCGCGTTCCCGGACCGCGCGCACACACACTGCTCGTGCATGTGCGCTGCATTCGAAAGCGAGGTGGTCTGCACAACGAATGAGTTCATGTAAAATCTGAGAGACCTGCACAACGGGGCATAACACAGCAAATGCAGTAATGTACGCATTAGAGTCACACTCTTGTGTAGATGACAGCAGTGCTTCCTTAAAAAGAGGAACTGAAACTCTGCATTCATTGAGGTGATTTCTTTTCGGTGGCAGTAAAATGCTGCAAGAAGCACAAAAAGCAACATGAAGGTGCAGGAATGTAACTTTAACATTTTAACCTGTGCAAATTCTATTGATACACCTCTGAAGGTTGGCAGTGGATGACATTTATCTGCATTCTTTTTTGACAGAGTAGTTTCTGAAATTTAGACGCATTAATCCAAATTCACCAGATATACCTGCAGCACTGAAACAAAAATACTTTGTCTGTTTTGGTGTAACACAGGCTGTTCACCAGGCAGAAACTAAAGGCTGGTGAGCTGAATGTCCCCAAACCAAGAAATAGCTCCAACTGTAGCGGGAAAAGTCAACGCATGAATTAAATACTTTGTTCAACGATTCTCTTATAGTTCAAACAACACTGTGCTGTCGCAGAACTTTCATGGAATATTTTAAGTTAATGGGATCTCACTCGCTGCGAAACTGTGCAAACACTCAGCCAAACACCCACAAAGCACTAAAACACTTATTCTGTCTCTAACACCAGAGTTCACATCCACACTTTGTCACACAACCACAAGGCAGTTATGTTTAAGAAAAAAACACACAATAGATCCAGTTTGCAGCCTTTACTCTTCCCATTAGATGACTCCTAATATGTGATGTGTTTATAATTACACTCTTCTGTCATCTAATTTCAGTTCATACCTCCACACACCACTTTACTGGTGAATTGCCAGACATATATCTTACTATTAAATAAAATGACAGCTTTGGTGTAAAAGCCATACGAGGCCTAATAGTCCCCTGTTTAAAATCGGTGTTTATTTTACGCTCAAGACAAAAAACTCAGCCAGGTTTTATTCCATTTAACTCACAAATGTTATAGTGAATAAACTTGATTTTTCCTGGTTTGTGTCAGGTAACAAAGACGTTTCTGTATTTATGATGAAGGCTGTTTGCAGTTTTCTACATTTCTATCGATCCAATTTCCAAACATGAGTAATTTAAAATCCAGTTACAGTCATAAATATTTAGAAATATAGACTTTTCAGCACATGGCCCTACCGTCTTCATTTATTAATCTGATGTACCCTGAACTTGTTGTCTTGTATTTATCTTTGATGCTCAGCTGTTGCTCCTGAAATGACCCACATTCCCCACAGGGATGGTTCAGCTTTCATCTGATCTAATCCAGTACATTTGTTTAAACAAGTCACATTCCTTCCGACCTGATTTACATATAATTTGTTATTGTTTCACATGTGAGAAGTCGTCAGCTGAAGGTCTACAAACTGGATTATTTAATACCATGTTCTTTCATTTCTGTGGATCTTTGATGCGTTAGTGTACAAATATCAGGAACTTTTCCTATTTCCATTTCATGTTACTCTAGACTTCTACCGCACTACAATTTAGAGAGAATTGCACTAATTCTTTTTCACTACTCTAGTTACATATAATATATGATATGATACGATACAATAGCATATAATATATACCAGGAATAATATTGCTGAATAATACTACTTTCAGTATATTTTCCTAATAATACACAAGTGACATTTTCAATACAGACAATAAAGTAGTTTATATGGCAAACACCCTTGTTCTGCATTAATCCTAGACCAATCCCTGCCGTTAACCTGTTTATATTCTATGATCCAAACTGTTAACCTGATTTTGGCATTGTATATATTGTAAATATTTTGGATTTGCACCTTATTGTTATTGTTATCTTGAACTTTTAGATTTGAATTCTGCACAGCAATTTCCCTCCGAGATAAATACAGTTTTATCTTGTCTTGCTTACTTAAATAAAGGATCTGAATTCTTCCTCCACCACTTGTTAGCAGGATAAATAGTTTCCACTGTTACCACTCATTGTTACTCAAATTGTCTTCTAGTAAAACACCAAAGCCTACACAATCCTCGTATAACTCTCTCTAAAAGCCCACACTGTAAATGTAAAACACGAGTAGCTGAGAGCTAAAGCCTTTATTGTCTGGATTAATAACCCTATAGTCAGAAGTAATGGCTTCCTGGAACCACAGTTCTTTTCTTCTGCCTTCTCAAGAGCCAGTCCTCTGAGATCTGTAACGCCTGAGGGGAGTCTCAGCTGTAAACTACGAGGTATAAACTGTTCAATAACTGGTTTCAAACCAGCACTCGATGTGAAACCTGCTCCTCCTGTGTGACATGTCAGTTAATTACACTTATGCATATTTTGGGCAGAATTTCCTCAAATGAAGGGAAATGAATAAATAATGACTATCCAATACGGTTCACAGTCTCACCCCCCCCTGTGGGTTGATTGTTTGAGGATCAATAAAACACATACAGACTCAGTGTGTGATTGAAGCACGCTCTCTTGCTTTGTTTGCATAGAGATTTAGTGGGTTGAGGGTGTTTATTTTCACTGTGAAATGTACAGACTTTTCTTTCCTTTGCTGCAGAGCCTGAGAGCGTGTGGCAACGACAGGTTTTAATTTTGAGGCAGTAAAAGATTTATTTGTTTGTAATGTCAAAATATAGTTGATGACTTTTACAAAAGGTTATGTATTAATAATAATAATGATTCATAATTTGATTCAGATTTCTGTCAAATAAAATCCAGACTGTGCTGAGAATGGTGCAGTCATTCACATCTTTCACACAGTAAATGAATGACAGCATGTCAAAGGAAATACAATGAGCGTAACACTAAAATAAAACAGCCAGCAGTAGCCAGGAACAATTACCTTCCCCAGAATAATGGAAGTGCTATACGAAATAAAAGCAAGGCAGATTTATAGACAAGAAAAAGATCAGGTGCTGGATGAGAAAATGATCCAGTGTGACAAGTAGAAAAAGGAACATAGTGGTTTCTTAAAGAGTTTTCAAGCCTTGAATTTCCTTTTACAACTTTGAAGGAGTTTGAAGTCGATGCTCATAAAGTAGAAGTCTCGCTGTGTGTCCTTACAGATCTCTTGATCCAGCTCAACAAACGCATTTATTCACTGTGACATTAGACTATTAGACATTTGTGTCAAAACTGTCATATGAAAGGTATGAATTCATGTCATCTTAGACCACGGAATGTTAATTATTTCAAACTTGAGTGAGCGTTTGTGCCAAATTGGAAGAAAGTCACTCAGCTGGTTCCTGAGATATCGCGTTCACGAGAACGGGAGGGACGTGACGTCACCATGTCCTTCAAATCAGTTCATTCTTGAGTCCAGGTGGACGTTTGTGACGTATTTGAAGAAATTTGTGTGTGATATCTCAGGTGTTCCTGAGATATCACATTCACAAGAATGAACCGGCGGACAGAAGGACGGACAAACCTAAAGCAGAAAACATCCAGCCCCAGCTGTCGCTAGCGCAGAGGCATAAAAAGCCTGTGTTTTATTTAGCTAAACTGTGACTTCTCTCTTGATCATGAACTTGACTCATTTAGCTTGACCCATAAACATGGCTCACAAGGGGCCCCACGGCAGACAATTGCTGTGGGGCCCTACTGACCCTTTTTTTGTTTATGGTAATTAGGTTAAACACAATTTTGCTTGTGATAATGCAACATGTACATATCAATACAAATAAACAGGACATGCTTTAAAGCAGGATCCGCTTTGAGACCCTCAATCATTTCAGTTGATGTTATGATGTAGTGGTGCACATTCCGAAACAAATTGGCAATTCATCCAAACCAACTGACACACAATGAATATGAGGCCTTTGGGGTCTGGAGCCTGGGGGCAGTTGCTCACGTTGCTAATAATCCAGCTCTGCCCTTAAAGCTGTATATGTCTTTCATCCCCACTCTTCTCTGATTCAACATTACAAAGACATTTGTCAGAGGCTGAGAAATGCCGGAAAATGTTACCTAATATTCCAATAAATGTCTCATAAATGTCAATAAATTAAAACTCAAATATAACATTTTTTCCTCAGTTAGAAAAAAATGATATGATATATGGAAATTCTGTATTTATATTCTTATCCTGATGCTGTATTACACTTACTGTTAATTTCATGCCTGCAGCATTGCATTGCATGAAATCTTTTAGATGTCTACTGCATCATTATAAGCACATTTCCCCTGTAATTCAGAATTACATATTTGGTATTCTGGGAAACCTTGGGCTCCAGACTAGAATCAACAATTATGCTCTGGGTTGCAGCAATCCATGTCTGCACAGCATGAGCTTGTAATAATGGACCCACCAAAGGGTCTGTTGGGCTGATGAGGTTTAGCTGCAACACTAAGAGAACACTAAGTTAAGAAGAGCAATGCTCTCACTATTAATTAAGCAAGACGGAGAGTCTGCAGCCATGCTAGCAGCTCTGTGAGGCTGTGTAGGCACAGTGGGGCTTTGAGCTAAATGCTAACATCAACATGCTTGCAAATATAACGCCAGCATGTTGATTTTTTTGCATGTTTAATATGTATCATGTTCACAACCTTAGTTTGGCATGTTAGCATACTATCATTCACTCGTTAGCACTAAATAGAAAGTACAACTGAGGCCGATGGGAATGCCATTATTTTTAGCATCGGGCAAATTAAAATTTTGACCCGATGAAGGCTTTTGATTAAAGGTTGGGATAAACGTTATCACAGTTCATACATGTCTCTCCCAAATGTCACAGCAATCCATCCCATAGTTGTTGAGGTATTTCATTAAAAAGCCCAAATATCAACTTCCTGGTGGCACTAGAGGAAAAGCCAGGGGATCGCCAAAGTAATTAGGATACATCCTCTGGGGAACATGAATGTCTGGACAAAATTGAATGGCAATCCATCAAATAGTTAGTTGTTGTTTGTTGATATTTC